TATATGTGTCGTGTGCAAGACGGATGCTGAAGTTTTGCTGAGTAACATTACTGTCTTATTGACAGGTCTGAGGGATAAGTTGTCAGCAAACTTGAAAAAAGACAACCATAAAACGGATAGACAAACAAAAAGATGCAACGAAAAAAAGAGGGATCTCGACATCGCTACTATCGATGGAGCATGTAATAACACTAGTGGTGACATGCTGAAACTCAGTACCGTCATAACGTGAACAGTAACAGGCTCTCCCAGCAGACTTTGATCTCCCAGCACAGGACCCCTGAATGCAACGGTAGTTCCCAAAAATTCTGTAGGTAATCGGACCTCCGTTAAGAAAGTCAAAAAGGACCAGGCGTCACCGTCTAAGCTGAACATCCCAAGAATGTCCGTCCGGTCATCAAAGAGCCTAGGGTTCAGAAATGTGCTTCGATCTCCAAACAACAAGGTGCTGAACCTGAACGCACCAGAAGACCTGGGAAAACAATAATCGTGAACCTTAAAGACAGCCCTGACCTTCCCCTTAGTTTGCGGGACAAAAATGACAGGATGCTCTGGGGTGAATTGAACAAGAAACTTGAACTTCCTAGAATAGAGCCTTTGACGGTCACATGGCTTACTAGGGGAAAGGAATCTAAGCATCGAAATCACCCGAGGCTACTTCGCGTAACACTTAAGAATGCTACCGACGTAGAGGATGTCCTGATAGGTAGTCATTTACTGAAATCCGATGGGAACGTAAGAATACTTCCCAACATACCGTATTCTGAGCACAATGCCATCCGGAGCATCCTTAAGGAATCTGGTGATAAGTTTTTCCGCGGAAGAAATATCATTGTGCAAGGTTTACCGGAAAACACGGACCCTATTCAAGCAAAATCTGATATTAGTGAATGAAAATTCGTCAAGCAGTCCTTGAGGCTCAAAAATATACTGACTCAACAAGTGATGAGACTAGCCAAGAAAGATGGTGATTCCAGACCCCGGCTGATGAAGATAACTTTCCCATCCTCCCGTATGGCGGCTACAACTCTGGAATCATTTCGTGCCAAAAGACGTCGGTTGCCAACTGCAATCAATATTCACCCGGATAGGCCACAGGACGCTGGGATCAAGCACAAAGGCAAGTTGGAGCTAAGCATTCCACTTGTGGACTGTCTCAATCATAAAAATAAAACGTGTAAACGACAGGGGCTATCGACTTGGCAAACATTATATAGGTAGGCTACCTGTTCATTCACGTAAGGCTCATAGAGACAAACAGGAAAAAACTCACGCGCTTCAAATTGAAAGCATAAACTGCTTATACATGAGCGCCGCGAGTCTACCAAGTAAAATGGATGAGCTATGTGAACTCAGCAATTTTAATAAGGCTCATGTGATAGGAATATCTGAAACTTGGATAACTTCTCAGTTTACGGACCAGGAGCTAGACACGCCTGTGATGTCTTTGTTTCTCAATGACAGAAAAACAGGAATTGGTGGTGGAGTAGCTTTGTACTTACGATCCTGTCTGGAGGTACACCAAGTTCACAACCATGAGTACAACAATCTTAATGAATCCGTATGGTGCTTAGTAAGATTGTCTACCACCTCGAAGTGTCTAGTTGGAGTCATCTACAGGGAGCCAACCACTAACATATAGTATGACGACAGTGTGTTAGAAGGATTACCCCACTTTACTCGTCTCGGATTCACTCACCCACGAATCCTTAAAGAGGAAACTTGACAGATGCTTGAGGACTATGTATGGTATCTTTTTCTTCTTTTATCGTTAATGCGCCTAGGTTCCTGAATGGAAGTATTGGTGATCCATTTCTACTAGACACAGAAGGCGTGAAGCAAAAGTTTCTTCTTCTCCGTTCAAAACTATTGAAACCATTCGAACACGTAACTTTCATCTGAAAACCTCCTAGGAGTTATGATGGGTAGTTTATTTATCTCTCTAATAGCTAAATGTCAAAACCCCAGACACAGACACAAAAGCCAAGACTTTATATCTTATTGTTAAGGTTGTTGATTGCCAAATCTAGTTGAAGATTTAGCTTCATGGCGCGCGTTATCTCAAATGGCCGAGATTTCAAATCGCAAAGATGTCATCAGCTTTTACGATGCGGCTGCACGCAATGATGAAAATAACTCTCATATCAAGAGGAGGGAAACTCGTATATTTTATCTGAGGAACTTTAACAACTGGATGAAAAGCGTTTTCATCAGTAAGAGTCTTCAAAGCTTAGATGTTCCCTCCAATCGTGCTCGAATATTAGATCTGTGCTGTGGTAAGGGTGGGGACCAGTTAAAGTGGTTACGCGGCGGTGTTCAGCATGTTACTTTTGTGGATTTATCCAATGAATCTATTGAGGTTTGTCGTCATCGGTATGAACAACTGTGTAGAAATAAACGGTCTGTTTTCACTGCAGACTTTTTCGTGGCAGACTGCTCAGAAGCTATACTTCCACAAGTGCTTCCATCTGGTGTCTTATATGATCTAGTCAGTTGTCAGTTCGCACTTCACTATGCTTTCGAGAGCATAGCCCAGGTAATTTACTAATTTGTTTTCTAGAAATTTTGATCTATATCATCCACCTCAAACTATTATGTACTTAAAGTTGTCAAATGTGTTGTAATATCACAGTAATTTAATGAGCTCCAAGTAATCCATCCAGAAGTGCGTTTTTAATATATTGATTCAGCGATAATTTTCATATTTGCGAGTTAAACAAACTTTTTCTTCAGTAGTTTGTACTTACAGATAACAGATCTCTGATACCTTATTGTACAAAGTGTGAGACCTGGATTTAGTCCCCTGAACTGACATGTTTTTGGTCACGGCTCAGAAGGCTTGTTTCTCTAACTGGAGTAAACACTACCTTACTCTCAATGGAGTCAAATGTAAACTTTGAGGATTGAATAGGCTAATTGGTTAAACTGGTCATGATGGACTCCGAAGTCAATAACGCAAGGTTTCCTCCAAGAGAATTTTTACAACGGTCAGCACTGGATTTAAGATCATAGGCTGTTTAGACATTTAGATCTGTTCTAACCACTGACCGTTTTAGACGAAAATCCCCCTTAGTTGTATGCGTAGCAGATAAAGTATCGCAGCTCGTCTACTTTGCATCTGTGTTGATAATAAGTCCGATGTTGTCTACATGAACTCGTATAAGTATCAGATTTCCCTGAAGCCCTAGCTTTTTATCCTGACTGAAAAATATCCAAGACTACATTAGGACATTTCACATCCTGGTAAAATGCGACAGTATCTATCTATTTGAGCTTATTGACGAAACATGTGTAGTTGACCTATCAAAAGCTTTAGAGGAATCGCACACTTTCCCCTTGAGATTGGGAACGGCAGTTCATCTGTTGGTTACAGTCAGCAGATTGATAATGCAGGAGTGACTTTCTGAAACTGTTACCGAATTGCAAAGTCAGACTAACAAGTGATGTACGCTTTCGCAAACCAAAGATCCTATAATCCTTGAAGGTATCGTAAAGTTACCCCCCGATAACTTGAGGGGTTTCACTAGCCCTCCTTAAAGACGAGTGATGTTTGCCGAGTTTTAGCTGTCAGAAGTATTAAGATTAGGTTGTTTTGTATTAGACATTTAACTAATATTAGCTAATCTCACTCGTACTATCAGATTGTTTACTTAATTCATAGTTTTCGGCACTCAACGAAGGGAATTAAAGCACTTATTTCCAGTCGCTAAAAGTCACAGGTTCGCTTTCCAACCTTTGTCCCTCTAGGGCTGAGATTTAAGCTACAACGTTGAACTACTGGCATCATTGTTATTATTTAGGAAGCGTATTCACGAAATTACCTACTTGTTATGAAGCCACATGGTGAATGGTGCTAAGGTCAGTGCTAGAATCTCAAACACTTGTGGGATCGATTTGGCGACTGTAAACTACATTCGTCGGTGATCAGTGTGCTACTTTCAGGACGACCGATTAAAGTTTCAAAGGTTGAATTTCATTTAAAAATTGTCTAGTTACCACATACTTGTAAGTTTCCAACGCACATTTTGACGCTTCTCATTCAGACCCGCAAGGCACTTTGAACTAGACATTTGACATATATATATATCATGGCCGTACAGTACGATTGTGCCTATACGGAATAGCATAAGCGCAGTCCAAAATGAGACTGACAACGTGCCAAGGTGTTAAGACACAATCCGTTTTTTGATAATTGTTGTAACAGTCTCTACCTTATACAACATAGATTACTTTAATTTTTTATTTATATTCAAATTACTGTCTATATAGGCACGTAGAATTTTGTCAAATATCAGCTCTCTGTTACAAGAAAACGGCTTTTTCATTGCAACGATCCCAAATGCTTACGAACTTTTGCGGAGAGCTACCGAAGCGTTAAACAAACATGTACAAAAACAAGTTTCGGAATCTGATATTGAAGAAATTAAGTTCGGAAACCCCGTATATTCAGTCACATTTCCCAAAGCTTCATTCTCAATCAGTCGAATAACAACCCAAACGAAAGATGCGGTTGAACTGACATTTCCTTTATTTGGGGCAAAGTACAACTTTTTTCTGGATGGAGTTGTGAATTGCCCTGAATTTGTAGTATACCCACCGCTCTTGGATAGATTGGCAGCTGATTACGGATTGGTGCCCGTTCATGAACCTATCTCTTTCGCTAATAATTTTTATTCTACGTTACGCAGTCGTTCAAGCCCACAAGACCCAAAGGATTTGCTCAAGAGAATGGAGGCTTTAGAACCATGGCATAAAAGTAATAACTATCCTTGCTCAAATGATGACGAATATATCCATCTGATAGATCATCAAAATAGTTTGCGCAACAATTCATGCTCATATGGGACTCTTTCTAAATCTGATTGGGAAGTTACTTCTATGTACTCTTTGCTGGCTTATAAGAAAAAAACGAATAAAGTCTGAGTCTATGCAACCTCTAATTTTCGACTGTTTTACTGTGGATAGGTATCTGTGAAACACTGCTGTCTGAAACAATGATTGTACGTCCAAAACGGCTGTTAAATTTACTAAGCGGTTTTACAATATCCGGCAAAAAGGTGGATAGTATTTACAAATTATATTAAGCAAATAAGGCTGATTCGTCTTGGTCCATTTTCTCCTGTGAAGCACTGGAAATACTTTTTTTTCTTAGTTGAAGTACATCTGAGCTTACATATCTGGAGTGACCGCTGTCAGCGACAACATAATCATTGCTTCTATCGTTATTGTCGAGGTATTTAGAAACTACTGGTTCGTAAACATATTTTGGAAACACTCGCTTGTACAAAGGCATTAAAGCTACATCGTTTGCCAGAATAGGTCGGTCGAAAACGCATTTCATATGACCATGAGTTCCAACAGGTTCCTTTATATGCCCAACAGCTCCGCTCTTTGTTTGCAACTGTATAGGCTGAAATGGAAAGTCAGACACAAATTTAATACCAATCAGAAAATCATTTTAAAAAGGTGACTAGCATGTTGGATACTAGAGAAATTAAAACTATTTACCAGCTGTTGAGCTGAATGATAAATCCTCTAAATCGAGGCGCTAAGTAGGAAAGGGTTTTCCAGTTCCCTCAACAGAGTTAGGGGATAACTGTATAGGATAAAATAGGATTACCTGAAAATGAAGCACGTCCGCTGGATTATGGAACATATATCGGACAACTACATGACGCTGGTTAATCTTGTATGGATGACCTGACAAAAAAATCCTCTTGATAATTAAATGACTGGGGTCGACTGATCTCAGAGACCCTGTTGCCACCAATTCACCGACGTATGGTGAAGATAGTTCCCCATCTTCATCCTACAAAATAAGTAAATGCGTCAGTACTCAGTTCAACTGTGTCAACAACAAAAACACTAGTGTATGCAGAAAACGCTGATGAATATTGACATTTTAATTGAGTCAAATAATAATCTTCTAAAGTTTGATGCCAACAGCTAGGAAATGACCAAATGTCACGCATCGTATAATTTAATTAGGAGACTGCCATTCAGTTTATTCCCAGTTTTGCTATGGGAGGTTTCAGTTAACTTCGATTTAGTCCAACTGGTTCCGTTTTATAGATAATGTATGTTACTGATTAGTTGTGAACAGAGATGTTTTTACAATATATTTAATATAGTAGTTGGGACTTTTCACGGTTTGTATTCAGTCAAGCACAATGTAGAGCCTGAGAGGAAGTCCCCATATATCAACATAACGGAGAAATTATCAACTGTTTCATCGCTAAGCGCAACTCAAGCGTGTACACCGCAACGCTTCTGCAGTATACACAAAGAATCCTGATTATTTTAAGAAGTCGCTGTCATTTAAATGAACTTAGCAGTTGGTGTGACGTAGACTCCAAATTAGATACAACCTTATTATCTATTATTAACTGTGCGATATACGACTATGGGTCACTTAGCTATATTATTAACTGGAATCACATATACTTATTGACTCATAATAAGGGCCTTAAATATAAATAAATATAGATTCAGCATGTTTTAGTTCTAGCATATTGGAAAAGCTGGAAGCACTGGATGGCCGTTTCGTTCTATTATGGGACTCCTCATTGACTCAGGATTTTAACTATTAAAATTACTATAATATACACAAAACCCCTTCTGATATTAAACAAAAATATATCAATAAAATACCTCTGTTACTCTGATCCTAAACTGTAAAACATTCACAGGAGAATACATCACTGGTGCATAAACAGTCGCTACAGTGGAACTTTCTGAAGCAGGAAAAAACGACTCAAATTTAGCTTTTTCACGAGGATTACTTGGTGTAGAATAAATCGGAGCTGCCACAAAACGCCGAATCCCAGCCTGAAAGGTTGCAAACAGAGTATGATCACTAAGTAAGATTCAAAGTAGCAACACATCCAGAGAACCGGCAGTAATGGAAAATGAATACATCTGTAACGCTATGATCAACTGAGCCATGTCACCTAAAGTTAAACGTAACTGATAACGAATAATAAACACCCCCTTGTCACTTTGCATTTCTTAACATAGCTCCGTCTATTAACGAATTATTGGGTTGTTAATTGTTGTTTTTCCCCAGTTTTTCTTCAACCTACTCTTATGTTAACCCATATAGCGCTTCCTATTGGTCAGATACGCCCCACATCATTCTGAAACAAGAGCAACTACTACCGCTATCCTGAAGTTAATACTGAGACGATTAATTTAAAAATCTGAAACCCTTTGACTCTGTTGTGAAAGACAATGTATTCGTTGCATACAATATTTGAGTACAAATTAGTCCAATTATAAGAGATAAAAGTCCTAATGCAAATGACTCAAGTATGAAGAGTTTTTTGTAGTTCGCAAAGTTAACAAAATATTGTAACGCTGAAAATTGCGACGAGCAAATCATACATAGAAAACTATCAAACAAAGAGAAATATTTACAGATGTCGTCATCTAAAATACTTCTAATTTCAGTCAATTTTTGAAGGGAGTAATACGTTGAGGGATTTTTAAGCTCCCGAGTGTTCTGGTACGGCCGAGGGTGGGAAGGGTCCGCTCTCCCTCTCAAAATGCTCTCACATGGCCACGCGTACACAGCTACTGCCGGGGATGTCCTACTTACTGCCTTCTCGTGGTGGGGGTAACGTTAACGAAATTGAGGGGACGAAAATCGAATGCCCGGCGCTTTAACCAGGTTGATGGATATGGAGGATCCACCTAAGGGAGTTGGAGAACGCTGATTCCAGACCAATGGTGCAAATGGGCTCCAGGATCCTGAGGGAACAAATGGCGTATGAACTAATTATTGGTCACCGGTTACCATGGGACTGCATCTCCAGACGTTGCTCCGCTGCCTTGAGGTTCAGACCTTTCTGTCGGAGCCCTCGGGCAGTACCACAGCCCACACATAAATTAAGTGACTTGTGTGGCGCATATGTATTCGGTCTCTTTGTACCCATATTTGTGCGTTCAAATAACAATAATAATTATTAATAATAATAGATTAATGAAATAGTTTTATCTTAAAAGAACTTCACTACGCACAATTCGTTATCCAAGGGTGAAGGATTTACTCTATCCAGTGACTTACTCAAGTTACTACTCAAATGATTGCAGGTAATAATAATAGTATCTCTTAACTAACGGTACTAATATTTTAACCCTCATAATTATATATAAAGTAAGTATTGAACACATAATCATAATTCTACCTGAATAAGCATCAGATCTTTCGATTTAATTGGTTCCGCTTCAAGAGGTATAGGCATCTTTGGATCGTATAGCGCTTTTCCACTTTTTTTTCCGTCGATTTTGTAACGGTGACTAATGAGGGCATCATGTATTGACTTATCTTCTCGTTCTACCTGTGTTGAAGCCTCCTCACCAAACTCTAGCGCACAAATCCCATTATCTTTTGATGATGACTCGGTAATTTTATTTGCAGCGTTTGCAATAACCACCAAATCTGAAACAGCGTGGATAGCGGAAGCACGCCGAAACATTGTAAAATGGCAGACTGACATTTGAGTTTCATGAGGTAAGAGTGACCAAACTATAAGTGGATGAGGTCTCGGATCAGAAGGTTTTCTGGCTTCGTTAGGTTGAGGGAACGTGTGGTGAGACAATATCGATTCACCAAGATCCCGTGAAACAGGCTGTAGCAGAAGCTCGACATCTACACCAGACGGAATGTACTTGAAGACGTTCCCTGTTGATTTATATGCTGATTGGAAGTCTGCTAATTTTTCTTCAATATAACGAATCATAGTACGCCTATTACGGTGATAGTTTCTGAAGCTTTTGGATAAACAAAAGAAGATAGTAAATAGGTCACTGATATATTTTTTGTCAACTTCAATAAAAAATATTTCGCACTCCTAACACAATAACTCTGATGCTGCATTAAACTCAAGGTTTGTGAACTAAGATCGGGTATTTAAGTTATATAGTTGTTATGGATGCTGAGGAATAATGTGCCAATCATTATCATGTTAAGTCTAATGATGTCCTTGGAGGTTAAATGAACATTTCCTATTGGCCGTTATTTATTTCACTCGTTAAATATTGTACGGATGTTGTTTTCTATTTTTATGGTATGATGTGGTCTGTTTGGTTATTATATAAATAGAGTATGTCTGAAATATAATGATTCATAACTCAGAGGCTGTGACTTGCGTTCTAGACTCAACTGGCTGGGCTAGACAGGGGAGCGGGACCAATCGGGACTCTAGGTCGTCCTTACGTGTTACCGAGTCGATCGATAATACGCTGCGCATCTAACCGTGCAATCCACCCGTTACAACAATAGTGATTTTGCATGCACCAGAATCAAACAACTTAGGTGACTAACATATCTTGCAGAATGCAGTATTTATTTATTTGAACACATAATTATTGATAAAAGAGGGCACCAAATATATATGCGCAACACAATGCAGTAAAATTCTGAGACATAGAAACAAAGAATAGACAATCGACTGGTAGCTAATTGGTAACTCTCGTTTGGATAGATAAATGAAATATCTAGCTCTAGAGCTTTGTACATATACTAAGCGAAGAATTCTGGACCCCTTATTCCAGTGAAATATTTTCCAGCTGAAAATAACAGTTTGTGTATCTATGGTTAGATGAAAAACTTATAATAAGTAGTAGTAAACCATAAATTTAGCATACCAGGCGATATTTTGATAATGTTTGGGTAACCAATTCTTTTCTGCTGGCCACACGCTACCTTGGAAACGAGGAAGACCACAGTACTTTACAAACCGTTCACTAGCAGGTATGTTTGAAGGGGTTTCAACCTGTATATAAATATATAAAGTAACTGTTTACATTCGCAATTTTGTAGAGACTGCTCCGACATACACAGGGGTAAAAATGGACATACTTAGATTCGGTGGCGTAGAAGTCAGATCATTTTGAACTGAAATAACTTTTCAAGGTATGGATTAATGAAAAATCTCACCAATCAGCTAGCTTGGTTTCAGTTCGTTACATCTACTTTCTTTTATAGAGCGTTAATCCTTTAAGATGTTGTCGAACCTACTTCAGCGTAAATGAATTCGATAAATTACTTGAGAATGTGTCAGATTGATATCTGTTTAATAAGCTTTTTTGTTTTCTGTAAAAGTTTTGCATTTGAACTAAGGAAGTAGAACTGCGTGTACCGTTAAGAATAATGTCCTAGTAACCTCATTGACTTTTATGCTCTAATGTGGTGTATGCTACTTATGTCTGTCGACATAAGTAGTATGTGACGCATTTCGTCGTTAAGTGAAATAGAATTAGAAGTTATTATTGTGTTGTTTTTTGTAAACGTTCAAACTAAAGTAGTGACTGTTTTCAAATATAAGGTACCAGGTTTTAACAGTACTTCATTTTGATCGTTTTAACACTCAGTTGTGTTTCCAACAATCGCGCTAAATGTGCAGCCCAAGGTTTGCGACAGAAACTCGTAACTGACATTGAGTAGGAGTGATAACAAGTTTAAACTGCTAATAGCCGGACATGATGTACATAACCAGTTCGCTTTAACTGTCAACAATATATGATATGGAGCAAGTTACTAAAAATGACCAATCGGGTAGATGGATTGCTGACGAATTGTTAGATTCCTGATACGATTTTTAAGTTTTTATTGTAACTATTTTGTTAGCAATTTACTAGTGTTAAAAGTACGTCAGCTTAGAAATACGGAAACATTACCTCATCCGGAAACATTTCTTCCATTCTGGCAGCCCGGAATTTTGCTAACTGAGCAGATGAGAACGTAGAGGTAGCGCTGGCTGCCATTGTATGAGCGGTATGACTTGCTATCGAAGCACATTCTATATCAGAATTTCCAGATAACTCAGATTCTAAATGATCAGATATCGCTTCCGTTGCATTCCATCGGTTTTCACTTGTTGACTCATGTGAATCATCAACAGACATTTCATCTGGCAGAGAGTCCTCCTCACAATCTTCATTCTCTAAGATGAATATCAGCAACGAGAGGATATGGGGATGTGATTAACTTAGGGAACGATGGAACCGTGGTTTAATATTACACAAGTTAACAGAAATTTAAGACGCGGTGCAAAATGGCATACATAATAACCAGCATAACATTGAATCCGAGAAATTAAAGACGTAAAACACAAGTAGCTTGATCGAATTTCATCCTAATAATATAAAGTTTAAAAACAAACTAAACATACATGAATAAAAAACTAAGCCTGTAGCTTTTCTAGGGTTACTGTTGGTCACAAATCTTGACAAAGAGCTGTGTATGGGGTTGGCAACCCCATCCAGTAGAAAACAACTTTGCTAAGAAAGATCACTAGAAGACATCATTTTGACCACTTAGTCAATTGGAGAATCGACGTTAAAAAGAATTACGAATCCTCATGCTAAAAACCGAGATTCTTCAGAAGTCACGAGGCCGATGCCCCTTTCTAAAAACCAGAACAACAAATAATGTAGGTAAATGGAATGTCCGGACAACGTGAAAGACCGAGAGAACCAATCAAATAGCTACACAAATGAAGAGATACAAAGTGATAGTGTTCGAAATAAGTGAAACCAAGAGGACCCAATACCAACAGAAAAGAGTAGCTTCACAAGAGGTGCAGTCGTACTCTAATCATCAAGAAGAAAATGTTTCGTGCACATAAGGAGATGCACTGACACTGTCCGAAGAAGCACGAAGAGTACGTATAGAATCGGGATATCATGGATTCAGATCAGTTCTATGAGAGACTGCAATCAATCATAGCGAATTGCCCAAATGAAAACCTCACCATTCTAACGGGAGATCTAAACGATATGAAGATATCATGGGACGACATAGACTGGGAGAGATACAGGAGAATATTGACAGATTTCAAATCTATGTGCATTCAACAAATTGATTATGAGCGGCACAATATTCCCACACATACGCATACACAAAGTTACATGGATCTCACCGGACCACAACACAGAGAACCAGATAGATCACAGCTGCATCAATAAAAAATTCCGAAAGACAATGGAAGATGTGAGAACCAAAATGGAAGCTGAAATACTTTCAGATCACCACGTAGTCGTGGTCAGTATGAAACTGAAGCTAAACAAACACTGGACTACTGGGGAAACAGCATTACGAAGGTTCAATAAAGTCTTCCTTAGGCATACTGACAAACTCAACGGATTCAAGATAACTCTCAACAACAAGTTCAGTCAGTCAGCTACAACGTAGGACCAGGCACATACATGCACCGGTCCAAGTTGCCACGCCTCATTAGCACAACAAGATGAACACCAGTTTCATAGTAGTGGTGGTAATACATAAAAGATAGATAGCATATAAGGACATAGTACAGGAAGAAAGAATTAGTCCGTAGAAAGAAAGATGTGACATAATTTTAATCTCATAGTTTAAGGGAAGACAAAGAGTGTATACACCTACTCCATTGTGATCGATTCTGAGCCATGTCACCCAGAGCCTACAACCATTGGTTACGTTAGTCACGCGGACACCAACCAACTAGACTGCATCTACCAACATGACTCAGACCAGAAGTTAGTGACTTCAAGCACTGATGCCACGTTTTGGTTTGGCCGCCCCTAACTTTTTTCCAACCATTCCCAACACCAGTTAGCATTGCGCCTCGTTTTCAGAACTAACTAAGTGACCCCATTTGTTGCTGGAATCTACTTTCCATTTACTCATCACTCAATTCATTTCTAAATAGGCCTTCTTAATGTGGCTTTCCTGCGTCCAATGAGGCGCAAGCAGATGCGTGCCCGTATTAGAGCATGGTCGGAGTCCAAGCAGGTACTCCAGAATGAGCGACAATCTTCTACCGAACCTCTCCAACGATGACTGATGGCAATATGGTCTATTTGAGTCCATCGTTGGTTTGGTGTAGGGGGTCGCCATGTTAGACGATGTCTCTCCTTATGCTCAAAATTAGTTTTTGCTAAAAATAAACGATTGTCTGAGCACAGTTGCAGCAGACGATCACCATTATCTGTTTGCTGAGCCAGAATACCAAAACACCCACCTAAATGTCGTTCTGTTTTGTTTAAGCAACCTACCTGGGCACTAAAGTCACCTGCTACGAGTACTACGTCTGAACGTTGAGCTTTCTGGGTGAAGTGAGGTCAAGTGAATGACCACACTAGGATCCTGTATGCGTGTTTCCGTGACACAGCATACATCAATGGTACGGGATTCTAGAGTCTCAGCCAAGGAGGTCTGTTGGTCGATTTGACATAGGGTGCGTACGCTGAAGGCTCTAATGTGCAGTATGAAGCGAGGTTTCAGTAGACCTGGGACAGTGTTTTGCGCACTAGAATCGTTGGCCATGGTGACACTTGAGGAGGAAGCCAAAAGAGAAAGTTTAGTGTTGAAGGTCGCTGTAGGAGGAATAATAGAAATTGAAGAGGGAGTTTGATTAGGAATACAGTGGTCTTGAGTGCTGTTAAAGGTATGAGGGTGGCTATCACTTCGCGGTTGCCCATACCTTGAAAGGGTTCTTCTGGAGGTACCTGAAAAGGAAATTGGATTACAGATGGTCTTAGTGATCTGAGAGCGTGACCTTAGTGCACAAGGGACAACTGCTAGAGGTCGGTCACACGAACTTTTTGTGGGTAATTTTCGTTCTAGCTCCGTACTTGTTGAGACCTTACCGCCGGAGATGGATATCCGTGGGATAAGGTGAGATGTGCATTGTTAGAGTCGACCTTTTCTAACCCCACCCCTGCTTGTGGAAAGGCAGCATCGCTGTCATGCTGGTGGTCCGAAGGAAACACCTTACTGCTGTCACACCTATGTACAGTCAGCAGTACGACTTCACCTTCAGACCTTGGGTTTGTTGCTTTTAGTCTTACCGCTCTTCAACCGACCTGTCTGGCACGGTAGGATCTTGAGGAACGATTGTTCCAGCCAGTATAGCTCGGTTGCCTCATCACGATAAGCAAGCCCGACCGCCATGTCAAGGTACCAACAACGGTCGGGAAACTTCTTCCACTGTGATCGCTATGTCTTCCACGTATTTCTGCTTGTCAGCTCTGATGCCCCTCTTGTTTAACTGTTAGTTGCTGTCTTGTTCTTCCTTTCTTTAACCTTGGATACGGTATCAGTAGAGATCTACTCTTTATGCTGGTGCTTCTTACTGCCTAGAATCTCATGATACGTTGAAGTCAATGATTCTTTAATCCCGTTTCAGTTACTCTCCATAGGAGTTTCCTCCTTGTTGAGTAGATCTTGTAAGGCTTGGAACCTGAATTTTCGGGCATTGGTCTCCTACCAGGAGGTCCACTTATCGACTTAGAATACTCAGATGACATAGTCCCGTTTGGTGAAGACGCTGATAAAATGCAGAGTCTTCTTGTGGCACTAAGCAACAATGCCAGAATGTTTGGAATGAGCTTCTCTCCCTCTAAATGCAAGTTGTTGCATCAGGACTGATCTGTATCAGCACCTCAACTAAGGATAGGCAGTGAAGTAGTCGAACGCATCGACAACTTCACTTATGTTGGAAGTCTGATCAGCCCTAGTATGTTGGTGTCTGACGAAATCTCAGCAAGGACTCGAAAAGCTAATTTGGACTTTTGCCAACTTACTTCATCCATGGTGAAGGCGAGATGTCCATCTATCAATTAAGGGACGAGTATACTGCGCGTAAGTTCGTTCGGTTCTACTTTACGGCTGCGAAACGTGACCGTTAAGAGTTGAAGATATTCGTAAGCTACTAGTATTTAATCATAGATGCCCTAGAAATATTGCTCGCATCTGCTGGGATCATCTGGTAAGTAATAGTGAGGTTAGACGTAGGATATTAGGGAATTATGGTAAATCAGTTGATGAGGTTGTGAACCTTCATCGACTGAGATGGTTGGGCCACGTGTTACGCATGCCTGAACGCCAATTACCACGACGCGCAATGCTAACTGGTGTTGGGAATGGTTGGAAGAAAGTTAGGGGCGGCCAAACCAAAACGTGGCATCAGTGCTTGAAGTCACTAACTTCTGGTCTGAGTCATGTTGGTAGATGCAGTCTAGTTGGTTGGTGTCCGCGTGACTAACGTAACCAATGGTTGTAGGCTCTGGGTGACATGGCTCAGAATCGATCACAATGGAGTAGGTGTATACACTCTTTGTCTTCCCTTAAACTATGAGATTAAAATTATGTCACATCTTTCTTTCTACGGACTAATTCTTTCTTCCTGTACTATGTCCTTATATGCTATCTATCTTTTATGTATTACCACCACTACTATGAAACTGGTGTTCATCTTGTTGTGCTAATGAGGCGTGGCAACTTGGACCGGTGCATGTATGTGCCTGGTCCTACGTTGTAACTGACCGACTGGAAAAAGCTGCAAGTTAAGGAAGTATGAGACAACTGTATGATACAAAGCATAATTTAAAATATTTTCCTCCCAAGTATACTACGACAATACGGAATACGATAATGAGACCGGTCACATCATATCAGATCAAGAATTCACGACCCAGAACAGAGAACCAGGTTAACACTAGATAATACTCAATTCAACACAGTTATTGAAAATCTCACTCCGTGAGACGAGAGTAGAAATTATTGAGAGGAACGGAAGTCACATATTTAATCGTCAGTAGTCTAAGCGTCTGTTTGTCCATGCTCAGTGACCAATAATATTTTGCTATCACTACTACATATCACTATATAATACAACGAAGGGGACCATTCAAGAAAGAAGGCAAATCATTTATTGATTCAAGAACAGCGGAACAGGTGGGTGGGTTACTATGATGAACTCTCACATAGGCCAGCCTCACTGAATCTGCCGTAAATAAAAGCAGCATCTACAGAGCTTTCTATAGATGTCACCACACCAACAGTCGAAGAAATAGACAATGGTTATCGGACAAATCAAGAATGGGAAAGGAGTAGGACTTGGCAAAACTGTTATTGTTATCGGAAGAACATTTGAAAGTGGAAATATTGTAGAAGCACATGACTTTAGTACTTTTGCCACTTAGCAAGATTGTATTGTAAAGGATAATATGAAACTCATGTATTTCTGGACGAATTTACTGGTATGGGTTTTATATGTGCCTATGAAACAAGTAGTTTTATGGTATTTCTTCTGTATGGCTTTAATTGTAAGCTGTCTTTTGACCCATTTATTGTTGCTAATTTCTACTGGTCATAAACAAAGGGCAAAATCAACCATGAGTGTAGAAATTCTCTACATATCAAAAATGTTTTAATAATGTTTGTTTACTGTTCCAACACTCGAAATACATAATCACTTTGGTGGTAGATCTAAACTTTACGAAGCAGCGACTTATTTAGTCAGTCAGTCAGTAACAACGTAGAACTTCGTACGTACGTACGTACATCAGTTCGAGTTATTTAACTCTTCTGGTGTTCTGATTGCAAGGTTGGTAGAGGGTAAATTTAGCGTGGGTTAACGATCGTCAGCGTATATGGCACTAAAGTTAATTGACTAAATGTTATTGGTGTTGGAAAATTAAAACCAATACTTATATCAAGTATCATTACACTGGATTGAAAAAGAAACGTTTGAATGTTTAGGAAAGCGTGGAAAGTCCTTGCGGATGAATTAATCTAACAATATACATATACTAGTTACTTAGTTTAGACAGAAGAGGAACTATTTAAACAAAACTTCTGGCAAACAACATGCTTTTAAACTTACCGTTTGTGAGATTGACTGACGTAGATGGAGGTATGTATTTTGTTGATATATTTTCAACGGTGTTAAGATCTGAGATTTGCCACGTCTGTTGTAAGTGATAGTTATCAATCCATTTAGCCTCTATCAAAGGAAAATCACCCCAACCAGTCAAATGCACATGAGGGCCAACAAGTACAGAACCATTTTGCTCTAACTCCTCGAACAAAATCAATGGTGCTCCATGTAGGTGGCCACGAAGACATACTGATACCTCGGATTTTGTGATATCGTCATGAGCATCTACATTTTGCAAGAGTTTGAATGAAAGTACTGTTTATTCTCTGAACCTTGTGTACAAGTTGAATAATTTATTGGGTTACCCCATAGTTTAATGGAAAATAATAACTATTGAAACAACCATGAGTAATGAATTGTTCATCAAAAAATACATTTGAATAATCCTATTGTTCTGTTTAAAATAGGCAGACAGAATTTACATAAATGATCTAATAACTGAAATCTAATTTAAAAAATGTAGTTGGTTCAGAAAGCGAACAGTAGAAACGATTGAAAGTATGTCACATATCATTAGTAAATCGAAGCGGTTATTTACTTTAATAGTGGATATATGTAACCAATGAAATGCATTGAAAATATTCAAGATGACGGACGCCACTTTAATAAAATTACGTTACAGGTTGTAGCTTTCTGAAAGAACCGTAGTCAAAAATCTCTTTAACAATAAAAGTTAAAATAACTACATGATCAAATAATTTGTACTCCGGGTGGCTTGCGTAAAACACACCTGACGAACTGTGAGTAAAAACTAACGAGTGAAATAAAAACGTACTATTTTCAGAAATTAGTTCAATAGAGTCAACAAGTAAGCGCGTTCGGTAGCGTGCTCCAGTATGCGCCACTGTAGACTGTCCAGCCACTTTTGCATTCTTTCCCTTAACATGGAAACTTGACGGATTGGTTGAGGCAATATGCCGTAGGAGGTTTAGAGCATTGGCGCTTGAATTTAGTTGGTGAATCGTCGATTCGGGGACTGGAAACCTATACTTTTAGTCAAAATAAAAAACATGCAGTAACATCACAAAATGAAATTAGAATTCATGAAGGCTAGACTGTTACTCAGATTATTAGATGCAGTCAAAAATTGATGTTTAATAATCAAAATTACTGGGGCCACTTTCACGTATAAATTGCTTGAAAACAGTTAAATACAATCTGAATCTACGCAGATAATTTCCAAAAAGAATAGTTAGCATATATGATTGCTTTGCCATATAGAAGCGGGTTATGCGTACCTCACCGAAAATAGTTCTACGGACTTTAAAAGAATGTTTGATGACCTACATCGTTATCAGACAAATCAGTCGAAAATAATTCAGTCAAAAGTCTGGTCGTAGGTCCAGTTTGTGTAACCTTCTTGTGTGAACACGCACATAACTATAGCAATGCAATTAATGTATATAATAATAAAAACTCCCTATTTTTATTAATCGACAAAGTTTGATGTTTAACAAAAATTAACTCAGAATTCTTTCAAGACTTTAAGACAAATGTATGGCATGTAAAGTTTTAATAAAAAACATTAAGCAATCAAATTACCTCTAGAATCTGTTTTAACTCTTTAAGATTTGAATTGGAAGAAAGAACCGCATAGGAAGCATTTGTAAAACCTTGAGCATATATGGCAGTGAGTAACTCATGAACAGAATCAGGAATCTCTGAGGGATTACTTGGAACTAAAAGAACAAGCCAGTCTGCGAAATTTGCGAGGTCGAGACAACCAAAAAGATCATCACTGTAAGCACAAATGAGATTAAAGTATTTATTGAGGATTTGAGAGCGAATAGTCACTACATTTTGCAAACAATCCGGCTTTTTTATAACCTCAGTATTTGGTTCACATGTTTGAAATAAAAGTTGGGCTAAGTGTGTAGGTACTGAGGACGATAAAGGAATCAAAACACAAGCTATAGGATTTCCCTTAGTCCCACGAGATGCTTCAAGATTTTTTACCTATGACAATAGGAAGTAAAGCTTTTTAACAAACCTCTAATTTCTTTTGTATGCGGAGTTGCTTGGAGAGTAAGCGCCGTTGGTCCTTATTCAGTATCTACAATGGTAAACAAAAATTCTAATGAATTTAAACGAACCACATGAAGCTGGTGCTTCAACGTTGTGGATCTATTAAACAATGTAATTCTGGACTTCAGCATCGTTTACATAAACTTACATTTATCAGGTTTTCAGACATTTATCTGTGCTGATTTCCATTGTTGATTGTTTTGATCTATTAGAGAGAGTGGTTCTTTTATGATGACAGTAGAAGAATTAGATTTACTAAGTTTGGGAATAACATCCGTCCCCATAGTCTACGCACTAGTAATAAATACGCTGAAAATTCCCCTATAGTGTTAAATTCCTAAACACAGATTCGAGCGCTCTTCTAAAGACATTAAATTTTGTCAAAAGAAGTCATAAACTTCTTGCTGAAAGGAATGTCCAGTAAGTATATACCACTACTCAAATTGCATATAATTAGTTGATATTCATGAACATTTTAAACACAATCATATGAAAAAAGCAACGAGAATTATAAGTTAGGGGAAAATACCAAACAATATCTACTGTCTAGTTTTCTTTATCTTTGTGATATGTGCTTAAGAAAGCAATAATTTTGTTTCCAAAACCTTTAGGGATCGATCTCGTACTTACAGATTTTATGATATATGTATGAACCGTTCTTTAGCATTGTGCGATAGTATATGAAAATAATCTCTAAGTGAGAAAATGGACGGATTAATTTGGCAGTGGGCTAGAAAACAAAATTTGATGGAAAAATGGTGAAGTTAGAAAAATAAGGCCTCAAAAAGTACTCTCGAAACCATATAAACGAACACATATTTTGGAAATTTGAAGAACCTAATAACAGACAACCGGCCAAATTAATGACTAAATTTACGGTCGGATTTTTGACCTGATTACTACAACGTTTTTAAGTAGACAGAAGAAACATGCTAGTTTCAATTGTCTGTCATGATACAGTATTGACTTCCAGATCTCTATATGTAAAACATCAGCAACACATAAAGATAAGAAACCTGGCTCGGTAAAAATTGAGTACGATAGAATTAGTTAGCGGTTGTTATTTGTTGCCAATCATTCGTTTTGTATTTATATGTAAACCACTTCTATCATCAAGAGCATTATGTCGATTTTTTATCTTATTGTAGAAGGTTTTACAATACCTGTAAATCAAATTATATTCATGTTGACGTACAGTCTTCAGAATGAGAAACCAGCTAAGGGTAGTAATATTTACATTGTGAATACATGCACTAACGCGTTTACTACGTGGCAGTCACTACCTCCGAGAAAACTGCTTACGTGATCTATTTACAATATAGTTTCAAGTATCAAAATACGTAGCATAACGTAGGAGGTCTTTTGAATAATCAATTATTTAAAAACGACAACAATTTGGTGACATTACCACTGAGTCTAGTACTAATTAGTACAAAAATAAATTTCTATTTGTGACAAAATAATTATTACTCTGATCCAATAACACTGGCATAATACCTTGTTTTTTGTTACGCGATGTGGCTTTGGGTTTTTATCTGAAGATTTCCTAGCTCCTTTATGCTTTTTATTCTGCTGTTTCAGAGGCCCACTACGATGCGGTGCACGAGCCATCAACTCGTTAGAAATCAAAAGAGTGACCAGAGTTTACAACGTTCAATAAAATGTGAACTTACGTAAATGAAATAATAATTGAAAAGCTATACAGACTACTTTTCGAATAACTGATCACGATACTTTCCGTTTTCTACCACTTAGAAATATAACGGTAACTAAAACTATCTTAGCATAAGATACTTATGGGTGCTTCAGTGTCCTGATTTGCAAGCATAGTTGCTTTTGCGATATGTCCCTTAATTGTGGATAATGCTTCTCTCGCAGTATCGTCCAATGGATGAATTTCGCATTTCCATGGCGTTGGTCGGTTAGCGGTTTCATAAGTGACACGCACTTAGGTATTGTAGCGGTAAATAAATCCCCAAAATAAATAGCTCCAAGTTTTCGATATTGGATGCTGACCATATGTTTTAGTGGACTCATCTAGCTGAAGGCGCTCGGTCATGCATCCGCACCAGATCACGTGTGGTAACGCCGTGCTCAACATCAACCGCAATCGCTAGCCAGATTAGATCAGAGAATTCCTATATATTGGTCATCGCCAAATACACTCTTCCGATCTCCTCGACTCTGTCTTTTGATTTCTCTGGGTGGGAACGAATTATATTAGGTGTTACTGGTAGAAGCGTTGTCAAACACTGAATACCTGTGACATCTTCAGTATGAACCGTCTGTAGAAACGTACAAGGCCGTTAAACGTGTGTTATTACTTGATGGCGGTCGGTTCTGCGTAATCAAGACTGGCCGCCAGTTCGATTTTAAGGGGCCGGATGCCTTGCGCATCTATAGCGTGTCCAAGGAAATCTATGGAGTCAGTCCCGATTTGGCATTTCTGAATGTTTACAGTAATGCCATGTTTTAGTAGTCGTTCGGAAACAAGTTCTGGATGCTGGAGATGAGATTCTCTGTCCGGACGTGCTATTAAACGGTTATCAACATACGCATGTACGAAGCTGGGACCTCGAAGAACGTCATTTATGAACCTTTGTAAGTGCAGCGTATCTTAAGCCGAAGGGCATGCGCAAAAATTGGTAGAGACAGAAAGGAGTTATGATAGCTCTTCGAAGAATGTTGTCCGCAGCCATAGGAATTTGGTCATAGGCTTTAACCAAGTAGATTTTCGTGAATGTGAGGCAGCGGGTAACAATCGAGAATGGTTTACGCATTCAGTCGACGATAGTCACCAGTTGGACGCCATTCGTTGCTGTCCTTTTTAGGGGCCATGTGCTACGGAGATGCCCAAGGGCTGTTTGACGGTATTATGATGCCTAAGTCTATCATGTGGTCGAATTCGTTTTTCACCGACCTTAGCTCTTCGGGGGCCAGTCGGTGTGTTTTCGAGAATACAGGTATTCCTGCAGTCGTGATATCATGTGTAACATTGCTGGTTGCACACGACAATTTCGGATGCGGTTGGTACATCCCAGAATACTTATCGAGTAGTGGTTGACAGAATGGGTCTATCATGAGCTTTATTGTGATCGGAGATAATCCGCAACCAGAAAAAGAAGTTATACAAAGAGATAAATTAGAATTCCCGTTTACTAGCCTCCGTGTGCGCGTATCGATGAGTAGATTATGGTGTTGTAAGAAGTCTTTATCAATGATTGGCATAGAAACGTCTGCTACAACAAAGATCCACAGTATGGGTTTGCGTAAACCCACATTAAGTCTAAAACCGGCTCGTGAAGCCGGTCGTTAGAATTTTCTGGAAGAACTCTAGCTTCTACTCCAGTATCGACGAAGTAGCGAACTTTCGTTATCGCATCTGTTGCGTATAACAGACAGCTATGTTCTCCGGCCACGGTCGGAGCTAACGCGTGCCGGCTTGGAAGTTTTCCGAGATGTTCTTCTTGTCAGTCGATTTGGAGTTGGGAACACTGGAGGATTTCCTACAATTTCCAGAAGATCTTTCGTAGTGTTTACGATACCAGCAACACACAGGGTTATCCGTCTCTCGTGGTCTGGCGACAGATCGCTTACGTGAAGCACTTCTTCGAGGGGTGTGTTACCGTTTACGTTCATCACTAAATCGAAGGTAACAGGTCAGCATATGACATAGTTCCTTGATGTCATTCTCTGTCGCTTGAAATTTTTATTTGACTGAGGAAACCTTGGCGTGAGAAGATTTGGTGATCTCTAAAATGCGGTCGGCAGATGCAGCCAGCTCGTCTACGGTGTTGTTTTGAAACGAGACAACCACAGCTTCACACATTGAGGAAGTTTGGATAAGAAAAGTTGTTTGAATAAGCCATCATCGAAGGTTCTTAGGCCGATAACCTCTCTAATTCTTTACAACATGTCTGTCGCTGAACCGTGTCGCAGATCGATATTATTAAGGAGTTGATCTAACATTTGTCGATCGGTTAGGTCTCCGCGTCCAAGAATAGATCGTTTAAGAGTTTCGTAGGATTCGCAAACATCACTAGTAAACATACTAGGTATGACATACCTGTTGAGTTCGCGTGGTAGTGCCTTTGCTACTGCGCGGAATTGTGCACGTGTGTCGATCACGCCGTGCTCGGTGAAGTCAGCTTCTGCGTATCAGAACCAGGCTCCGATGTTGTCTGGCCAGAAGGGCATCAGTTGGAATGAAGGTGGGGACATAGTCTTTAACTTAAGTACCTTGGGTGTCTGTTCCGTCATGGTGCAATATCAAGTACGAGAATGAACGGGTGAGAAAAAATATATCAAAAACACGGGAAAAATTATCACAATATATAAAAAAATTAATACAAGGTAATAATATACAGAAATCCAAAAAGGAGAAGACTCACAGTTTACAATTTGGTGTACCATGTCACGTTAGGCTCACCAGTGAAGATGCCACAGATATTTGGAGTTTGACAACGCTTTAACTAGTAACACCTAATATGAAGCGTACCCACCGAGTGAAATCAAAAGACAGAAGCGAGGAAATTCGAAGATATATTTGATAGGCTACCAATGTATCGTGGATGGACTTATCTAGAGTCGTTGGCGATTGCAGAGGATGTTGAGCACGGCGTTCCCACTCGTGACCTGGTGCGGGTGCATGACCGAGCGCCTTCGGCTAGGTGAGTCCATTAAAACTAGTGTGATCAGCATCTAATGTCGAAAACTTACAGGGCTATTTATCTTGGGGATTTCTTTTCCGCTACACTAGCTAAACCATGTCGTAGTTAATACTATTTTATGATGTGTCTCTTATAGGGTTTACGAATGAACTATTGTAAACAGAATCCGCAATTACTGACCAAATTATAAACAAAGTTCCAATGCATGTTGACGAGTAGTATCTAAGTGGTACTTGTCAGTTTCTTGGTTGATGCCAAATGACTCGGTGAAATTCTGGAAGGGTTAGTACATGAAGAGTACTGTTTATAACAAGTAAGACATTTTTAGGTACATTCTTTTGGCTGCTATTTCATTTACCTATTGAATTTGATGCTGACAACGAAGTTTAATCGTTTGTTTCACGATTGATTTGCTGTTTTTCAGGATTTCATTATGCTGAGAAAGTCCCCATACGTTTTCTGATTTGCAACTTATGTCTTCTGTCAACTAATTGAAAGGCTCAAACCTTTCTAATAACCATGTCTATGCTGGTGAACACCTCAGCTAATATCTGAATATGGGAGATTATGTGGAGAAACAATTTACAAGTTGACGATAACTGTTTTTTATATTGACCACTGCCACGTTCATTCATCTAATGAATTATTTAAATATAAAGATAACAACTATACAGTCGTTTGCATTATAAATCTTGTTAGTATGTATAACTATAGTCTAGTTTGATACTAATACCACTTTGATAATAGATCTAATCGAAAGACGGTATATTTGTCACGTGATAGTCTGATCTGTAAGATCTTACGTGGAAGTTGCATCACTGTCTACACCGACTCATCATATCGCAACAATTGACAATGATACTTTTCACTTCTGAAGGACATATTTGTGCTGGGGATAGAATAATACACTTTATGTGAATAGTAACAACTAACACCCAAAGAATACGTCTGCAAGGCTGAGCCATGCCATCCGAATGAATCAATGTTTCCACATCCATCACTGCCGACCTTCTCTAAGTCTTACATGTCGAATATTGGTCTTTTCAGTCATTATATGCTTGGATTCGAAGATCGTGTGGTTAGGAAATAATGGCACTACAAGTGTCCATCCGAATGCACTATCACAGGGAAGAAACTTATATATACAACGCAACAGTATAGTGAAACTTCTAAACTGACGCAGTACTACAAGTTTTCCTAACGAAATGGGTACTTATAAAGCAAACACGTAGTTGTTTCTAGTTTTTACAGACAGATACCCACCGAGATTATTGGTGTATCTTCCCATGAAACTACGAAGAAAACGAAAATGAATATTGGGCAAAAGTTTATCGATGCACCATTACTACTGGTACAGGAAGGGCAACACTTGATGCCGACAAATCAGTTTACAAGTTGGATATATAGTTAAGTTAAAAATACTACTACAAATAACTTGTTATAGCAAACAGTTCCTGTCACTTCTCCACACTATGTTGTATCCCGACCGATATTTTCCATCGTAGAGAATACCACACAAAGACAAACCCTAGAGCAACTACAGTCTTACCTATTTATTGATGATTCCCAAGCAAAGATTAGCTTTGTTGAATCTGTACATGCTGTCTGCTTCGTCCGGGTAGTGAGATTGTTGTCATTCTGGAAGGTGTGAGTGTTATCTATCTTCTATCGACTGCAGTGTCTGAGAATAGAATGAACTATACAGTTTATATTTGGTAATTGATCGAGCTTGCCTGTGAAAGTCCGTCCTTTTATGTGTGCCAGTAGCATGACGGCAAGGACACTGGCATATCATAATTTACTCACACTCTAGGTTACATATGCTCTCAATTCGTTTTGCTTCCTGGCAAATAGAATAGGACGTCCTCGACCAAGATCACCCCTAAAATTTACCCAAACCGGACAAAGGTTTTCCCAAGATAGGGAGATTAGAAAGTTATGAAGCAACATTCGATCCAACGTGTGCACTACAAGACGGAGA